TCTTTCTCTATCTGTTTTTCTCTCTGTCTTTCTTTTTTCTTTCTTTCTCTGTCTCTCTCTCTCTCTCTCTGTTTTCCCTCTCTGTCATTCTCTGTCATTTTCTGTTTTTCTTTTTCTCTCTTTCTCCCTCTCTGCTTTTCTTTTTCTCTCTCTGTCTCTTTCTTTCTCTCTTTCTCTATCTCTTTCTTTCTGTCTTTCTCTCTCTTTTGTTCTCTCTTTCTCTTTCTTTCTTCCTCTCTCTCTTTCTTTCTCTATCTGTTTTTCTCTCTGTCTTTCTTTTTTCTTTCTTTCTCTGTCCTTCTCCCTCTTTGCTTTTCTTTTTCTCTCTCTGTCTCTTTCTTTCTCTCTTTCTCTATCTCTTTCTTTCTGTCTTTCTCTCTCTTTTGTTCTCTCTTTCTCTTTCTTTCTTCCTCTCTCTCTTTCTTTCTCTATCTGTTTTTCTCTCTGTCTTTCTTTTTTCTTTCTTTCTCTGTCCTTCTCCCTCTTTGCTTTTCTTTTTCTCTCTCTGTCTTTTTCTCTCTTCCTCTCTTCCTCTCTCTCTGTTTTTCTCTGTGTCTCTGTTTTTCTTTTTCTCTTTCTTTCTCTCTGTGTTTGTGTATGTATGTGTGTTTCTTTATTTTTTTTCTCTCTCTCTCTGTTTTCCCTCTGTCTTTCTCTGTCTTTTTCTGTTTTTCTTTTTCTCTTTTTTCTCTGTCTTTCTCCTTCTGCTTTTCTTTTTCTTTCTCTGTCTCTTTCTTTCTCTTTCTTTCTCTTTCTATCTCTCTTTCTCTCTCTTTCTTTCTTCCTCTGTCTTTCTCCCTCTGCTTTTCTTTTTCTCTCTTTCTTTCTCCCCTCTCCCTCTCTCGGTGTTCCCTCTCTGTCTCTCTCTATCTTTCTGTTTTTCTTTTTCTCTTTCTCTCTGTGTTTGTGTATGTATGTGTGCGTTTCTTTATTTTCTCTCTCTCTCTCTCTCTCTGTTTTCCCTTTGTCTTTCTCTGTCTTTTTCTGTTTTTCTTTTTCTCTTTTTTCTCTGTCTTTCTCCCTCTGCTTTACTTTTTCTTTCTCTGTCTCTTTCTTTCTCTTTCTTTCTCTTCCTATCTCTCTTTCTCTCCCTCTCTCTCTCTCTTTCTTTCTCTGTCTTTCTCCCTCTCTGCTATTCTTTTCCTCTCTGTGTCTTTTTCTCTCTTCCTCTCTCTTTCTCTCTCTCTGTTCTTCTCTCTGCCTTTCTCTGTTTTTCTTTTTCTCTTTCTTTCTGTCTTTCTCCCTCTCTGCTTTTCTCTCTCTTTCTTTCTCTCCCTCTCTCTCTCTTTCTTTCTCTGCCTTTCTCTGTGTGTGTTTCTTTCTCTCTCTCTCTTTCTCTCCCCACCACTCTCTCTCTCTGGCTTTCCCTTATCGGGAAGATGCTGAGCTCCTTGTGCCATTAAATGCTTTCTTTTTTAAAAAACCTCTTGGAAATTCCCCTTTTTTATATAGATAGATAGATAGATAGATAG